ATCTTTTTCTTATGGTTATTATTATCATTTGCCTATTGGTATGGTTATTATTATCATTTGCCTATTGGTATGGTTATTATTATCATTTGCCTATTGTTCTATTTTCTCCCAGGACTGGGACCCAAAGAGGCTTGGCCACTGTTGCTTACACTCGAGGAGGAGTATAAATGCCCAAAATTCTCTTAACTACTCCACTGATGTTTTGAGGCACTGCAATTCTAGGAAGAGCCAGTTAATAGATTGGTCTGAACGACACCAATAAACCGAGTTCGAATCCCTGCAGAGTCCTGAAAACCCATTGGGTGACCATTGAGCAAGTCACACTCTCTCAACCTCAGAGAGCAAAGTTAATACTATTCTTGCAAAAAGAAGAGATAAGTTTGCTTTAACTCTGAAAACGGCTCCAAAGCACACCAATAACAAATGCTAGAAATGTCAGAATTGAAGGAAAATGTGATGCAGGGTCAGTATAGTTATTTTGGGGGGTCTCATTTGCATTTTATTTTGGGACCCAAAGAAAAGAGAGTGGCAACAAGAAAAGCAGAGAATGTTTAATCTGGCCTCAACAGGATTTCGAACATGAATCTCAAGCCCCATCTACACTGCCCTATAAAATCCAGATTATCTGCGTTGAACCGGATTATATGGTAGTATAGACTAATATAATCCAGTTCAAAGCAGATTTGAATTGTATATGGCAGTGCAGATGCGGCCCGGCTCTTTGTAACCCAACTCAAATATAACACCCGTTGTCTGGAAAAACGAATTGAAAAATTGTCTCAACGTGCATCTGCATTTTCAAATTAACGCAGTTCGACACCACTTTAACTGCCTCCACTCAATACTATGTAATGATTTGAAAATTTAGTTTTAGAAGCTTCTTCCCCCAAAAATATAATAATCTCAGGATTCCATAGTTTTGAACCATGGCAATTAAACTGGTGTCAAGCTGAATTGAAATCTCAGGTTTCCATAGTTTTGAATTAAACTGAATTAATTTCAATTAAGAACCAAAATCTCGAGTAATAACAATCCAGCGCCTCGATAATTCGTTCTAGATTCGGATCCTGCCCGTTTTGAAACACGGCTGTGCCAGGAAGCGCATTCCGACGTGTTGAAACGCGTGTTAGGCTCAGGATTGCGTGATTTGTTGGTTGCAAATTGGAAACCAGCTTAACCTCATAAAAAAACAGAAAATGCCTCCAATTCCCGGTGAATATCCCGGATTATCCGTTTGCACCACACAGCCCTATAACCACAGCCTTATAAGGTTGGGAATGCCGCAATATCTGCTTTGAACTGGATTATCTGAGTCCACACTGCCATATAATCCGGATTTTATACAGCTGTGTGGAAGGAGCTGTAGTAACAAGAAATGCTGACATTCTCCCTTTCCCAACCAGCATGGCCCAGGACTCTGGGAAACCCCGGTGCGTCTACATTGTACAATTAACGCAGTTTTGACACCACTTTCACTGCCACGGCTCAATATAATGGCACAAAGTCTTTGAACTGCCTCGCTAAGGCCTTTATATGATCCCAAGAAAAGCCAAAGCAGTCTTGCTTTTGAGAAAGAAAGAAAAATAACTAATTAATCCAAACAAACAATGTCTGGAGGATGAAAAGTAAGAGAAAGTCGTGCTTTTTCTCAAAAGCCTGGAGGCCACATGCTGATTCTTTGATGCAATTGTTCCTGAAAGGGAGGAAACAGGAACACGCGCCCTTTAAGGGGCCAAAACAGAAATCTGCACTCATTCTAGATTAAGCACCCTGCTTAAGGGTTGGATTTAGAGCCCAAGACCCTTCTACATAGCCCTAGAACTCAGAACATCCCACAATATCTGCTTTGAATTGGAATATCTGAGTCCACACTGCCATATATCCCAGTTTAAAGCAGCTCTTGTGGGATTTTCTGCCTTGATAATCTGAGAGATAGGGCCCTTCTTTCAAGGGCTCCTTCCACACAGCTGTATCAAATACAAATTGAATTGGATTATATGGCAGTGTGGACTCAGATAACTCAGGGCCCTTCCACACAGCCCTAATCAAGGAAGAAAATCCACAATATCTGCTTTGGGTTCTCTCAGTCCACACTGCCATATAATTCAGTTCAGTGTGGAAGGGGCCTCACACCCCTATTATCCTTAAACAAGGATTTCCAGTGCCTTCCAGTCCCTCCCAGTTTGCCCAGTGGATGGTCCCTCTTGCCCATTAAATTCAAAATAAATGAAGGGGGTGAGGAAATCCCTCTAATTTAATCAGTTGATTTGAATTTAATAGTTTCACTACTGACTGCTTTGCCTGTCTCTCCCTTTGTCCTATTATTATTATTATTATTATTATTATTATTATTATTATTATTATTATTCTGACACAAAAACACAGTATGAAACAGCAAATGAGATCTATATGCTGGATTTCGTATCACAAAATCACAAGTCAAACACTTCCCAAGTGTCTAGGGCTGTGTGATGTCTTTTCAAATATGTATTTTCGAATACATCACACAATTATTATTATTATTATTACTATTATTATTATTATTATTTTACTGACACAAAAACACTATGAAACTGCAAATGAGATCTATATGGTGGATTTCATATCACAAAATCACAATCAAACACTTCCCAAGCGTCCAGGGCTGTGTGATGCATTTTCGAATACAACACACAATTATTATTATTATTATTATTATTATTATTATTATTATTATTATTATTTTACTGACACAAAAACACTATGAAACTGCAAATGAGATCTATATGGTGGATTTCATATCACAAAATCACAATCAAACACTTCCCAAGAGTCTAGGGATGTGTGATGTCTTTTCGAATATGTATTTTCGAATACATCACATTATTATTATTATTATTATTATTATTATTATTATTATTATTCCTTCCCAGACCTGTTAGATTTAAACCAGTTCTTCCCAGTTTGGCCCAAGTCTTCCTTCTTTTAAAGGCCCCTTCCACACAGCTGTATAAAAACCAAATTGAACTGGAATATATGGCAGTGTGGACTCAGATAACCCAGTTCAAAGCAGGTATTGTGGGATTTTCTGCCTTGATATTCTGTGATACAGGGCTGTGTGGAAGGGCCCTGGGTTATATGGCTGTATGGAAGGGGCCATAAATACTATATATTTCAGTTCAATTTGGATTTCATACAGCTGTATGGCATTTTATTCATGTTCCCCTTTCCTCCTGATTTAATATTTTTCCTTTAACAATTTCACAATGGGCCACTTTGCCTTTAAGAGAGGAAAAGGATCATCATCATCATCATGATAGCAGTAATAATAATAATAATAATAATAATAATAATAATAATAATAATATCATCAACAACAACAATAGATGACTCCTGTCATCCCCAAACCAGGGCCCTTCCACATAGCCATACAACCCAGAATCTTAAGGCCAAAAAAATCCCACAATATCTGCTTTGAACTAGGTTATCTGTGTCCACACTGCCATATATTCCAAAGCAGATAATGTGGGAAGAAGAAGGGAGAAGAAGAAGACCATAATAGGATATTCCAGTTCAAAGCTGATAATGTGGGATTTTATTGAGCTGTGGGGAAGGGGCTCCAGGATATCAAGGCAGGAAATCCCCGCAATATCTGCTTTGAATTGGGTTATCTGAGTCCACACTGCCATATATTCCAGTTCAATTTGGTTTTTATACAGCTGTGTGGAAGGAGGCCTTAAAAGGAGGAAGAATTAGACCAAACTGGGAAGAACTGGTTTAAAACTAACGGGTCTGGGAGGAAATAATAATAATAATAATAATAATAATAATAATAATAATAATAATAATAATAGGACATTCCAGTTCAAAACGTATGTGGGATTTTATTCAGCTGTGGGGAAGGGACTCCAGAATATCAAGGCAAGAAGTCCCACAATATCTGCTTTGAACTGGGTTATTCGAGTCCACACTGTCATATATTCCATTTCAATTTTGTTTTTATACAGCTGTGTGGAAGAGGGCCTTAAGAGAAGGAAGAATTAGGTCAAACTGGGAAGAACTAGTTTAAAACTAACGGGTCTGAGAAGAAGGAGGAGGAGAAGGAGAAGGAGGAGGAGAAGGTGAAGAAGAATAAGAAGGAGAAGGGAGAAGAAGAAGACCATAATAGGATATTCCAGTTCAAAGCTGATAATGTGGGATTTTATTGAGCTGTGTGGAAGGGGCTCCAGAATATCAAGGCAAGAAGTCCCACAATATCTGCTTTGAACTGGGTTATTCGAGTCCACACTGTCATATATTCCAGTTCAATTTTGTTTTTATACAGCTGTGTGGAAGAGGACCTTAAAAGGAGGAAGAATTAGACCAAATGGGAAGAACTAATTTAAAACTAACGGGTCTGAGAAGGAGGAGGAGGAGGAGAAGGAGAAAGAGAAGATGGAGAAGAAGAAAGAGAAGGAGAAAGAGGAGAAAGAGAAGAAGGAGAAGAAGGGGAGTAGAAGGAGAAGGAGAAGAAGAAAGAGGAGGAGGAGGAGGAGAAAGAGGAGAAGGAGAAGGAGGAGAAGGAGAGGAAGAAAGAGAAGGAGGAGGAGGAGGAGAAGAAGAAGAAAGAGGAGGAGGAGGAGAAGAAAGAGAAGAAGAAAGAGGAGGAGAATAAGAAGAAGAAGGAGAAGGGAGAAGAAGAAGAAAACCATAATAGGATATTCCAGTTCAAAGCAGAAAATGTGGGATTTTATTGAGCTGTGTGGAAGGGGCTCCAGAATATCAAGGCAGGAAATCCCACAATATCTGCTTTGAACTATCTGTCTCCACACTGCCATATATCCCAGTTCAAAGCAGAAAATGTGGGATTTTATTCAGCTGTGTGGAAGAAGGGACCCCAGTTGCTCCCAGTTTGTCCCATCACCCTCTCATGGTCCACCTCCCTTCCCACCAGAACACACTCCAATGGAAGAATTTCATTGTAATTGTAGTAGGGTAACAATTAAGCCTAATAATAGTCAAGTGGGTCCCGTTTGACTCACCGAGGGGGTCGTGGCGGATGAGCGCATGCGCGTAGTCGGGCCGCGGGAAGGGATACAAGGGCCCGGCTCCATAGGCCCCGGGGGCCCCGTAGTGGGCGGCGGCCATGGGGTGGGCGAAGGCGGCGTGGATCGGCGTGGGCTCGTAGATGGGGGTGCGGTAGGAGGCCACCAGGCTGGTGAAGGAGGAGTTGGGCGAGGGCAGCGTGGGGGGCGGCGGAGGAGGAGGAGGGAGAGGCGGAGGGATCGGGGGCGCGCCTCGGCCCAGGATGTCCTCGATGTAGAAGGGCGTCGGGTGCGGCGCCTGCAGCAGAGGGCTGGGCGCGAACAGCGGCGGCTGGTACTGCATGGCCGGCAACGGGAGCCTCTCTCTTCCTCCTCCTGTCGAGGGTCCCAATGCCAATGCCACAGGTCCTTCTCTTCACAGTCTCCTCAGGGGAGGCGGAGCCGCTCCCTGACAGGCCCCTCGGAGAGCCAATCCGGAGGAAGCTCCTGCTCTGGGGAGCCACGCCCACCGCGGGCGCTGGCCACGCCTTCGCACCTCTCCCGTTCTAATACACATTGGGTGAGGAGAAGAACGTGCGGGGCAGGGTAGTAGATGGAGCGCGTAAGTCACGGGTTCGAATCCCCGCTCCGCCAGTTCTCCATAGATGGTCAGTTCTATGGACTTTTATAACGCATTTTATTTCATTGCCATCTGGATGAGGCATTAAGTGATAGAGCAAAACCTATTCTCCGTCCACTCTGCATTATATGGACTCAGATAATACAATTTAACTTCATTGCAGTTTGGAGGAGGCTTTCAGTGATCAAGTAAAACCTACCCCATCCACCTTGCTTTGTATGGTCAGTTTATTATTTATTATTTATTTACTCCATTTGTATACCGCATTTATCAGCCTAGCGGCGACTCAATGCGGTTTACAGTAAAAATAACAGTGAACAATATATAAGACGTACATCGACAAACAATACACATAATCATCAACGCCTACTTAGAATCAGATCCCGTTCTCATAGTCCTTAATTCAATCCTTGAATCAGTTATATGGACACCTAGAATGCAATTTAGCTCAACTACAGTGTGGATGGGGGATTAAGTGATTTTTATACTGGTTTTAAACCACTTCATTGCAATAGCATATTCCCAGATTAATTTAGTGTTTCCACCTTATTTTATTTGTCTGGTTATTTAATACTTAATGTTTATTTTACTTAAGTGGTATTTAAGCAACCTCTATGGCAAGCAACCTCTGAGGATGCTTGCCATAGATGCAGGCAAAACGTCAGGAGAGAATGCCTCTAGAACACGGCCATATAGCCTAAGTGATATTTGTCCTTACTCTTCTAATGTAGCACAAATTCTATGTAAAATCATACTACGTATTTTTGACATTAATATTGAAATCTGACATATATACAGAAAGTTTTTACTTTGCTAACCTTCTCCATCCACTCTGCATTATATGGACTCCTATAATGCACTTTAACTTGACCCCAGTGCATGAGGCATTATATGATGGAGAAAAACTTATTCTACATCCACCCTGCATTATATGGACTCCTATAATGCAATTTAACTTCATTGCAGTGTGGATGTGGCATTAAGCAATCATGCCAAACCTACTCTCCATCCACCCTGCATTATATGGACTCATATAATAATATGGACGCTCTCTACGTGGGGCTGCCCTTGAAGACGGCCCGGAAGCTTCAGCTGGTTCAGCGCGCGGCAGCTATGCTACTAACTGGAGCGGGATACAGGGAGCACACAACGCCCTTGCTGTCCCAGCTCCACTGGCTGCCGATTTGCTACCGGGCCCAATTTAAGGTGCTGGTGTTGGCCTACAAAGCCCTAAACGGTTCCGGCCCAAAATACCTTTCAGACCGCATCTTGGCCTATGAGCCCACGAGGACCTTGAGATCGTCTGGGGAGGCCCTTCTCTCGATCCCGCCTGCCTCACAGGCACGCCTGGCGGGGACGAGAGAGAGGGCCTTCTCAGTGGTGGCCCCCCGGCTGTGGAACACTCTCCCTACAGACATCAGGCAGGCGCCCTCCCTTATGTCCTTCCGAAAAAGCCTTAAGACATGGCTGTTCGAGAGGGCATTTAATTAAGTGCTATAATAATGTGGTAAAGATGACTGGAATGGAACAAGGAATACGAGATTGGTTACGATTCTACTATGAGACGAAGCGGATTAGTTAGTGTAATTTTGTAATTTTGTAATTTTATAATTGTTGTATTACTGTATTGCTAATATGTTGTTTGTAATTGCCTTTTTTGTATTGCCTTTTTATGCTGTACACCGCCATGAGTCGCCCGAGAGGGCTGAGAATGGCGGTTAATAAATGCACCAAATAAATAAATAAATAAATAAATAATACAATTTAACTTCATTGCAGTATGGAGGAGGATTAAGTGAGCAAGCAAAATCTACTCCATCCACCCTGTATTATATGGTCAGTTATATGGACTCATATAATATAATTTAACTTCACTGCAGTGTGTATGAGGCATTAAGTGATGAAGCCAAACCTGCTCTCCATCCACCCTATATTATATGGTCAGTCATATGGACTCCTATAATGCAATTTAACGTCATTGCAGTGTGGTTGAGGCATAAGTGATTAAGCAAAACCTCTCTAGTGTTAGGCTCCTTCCACACTGCCAAATAATCCAGATTTTTAAAATAGATAATCATATTGTCTGCTTTAAACTGGATTATATTAGTCTCCACTGCCATATAATCCAGTTCAAAGCAGATAACCTGGATTTTATATGGCAGCGTAGAAGGGGCCTCTGTTGGCTACCAATAAATTTTCAACAATCAGTGATTTTGAGTGGTCTTTCCTAAGGGGCTGTGCATGTTACTTTGATAACACTCTTATGGCCATGGCTCAGTGCTATTGAAACCTGGGAGTTGCAGTTTTACAAGGTCTTCAACCTTCTCTACCAAATAGTATTGGTAGTTTGGTGCATCACCAAGCAACAATTCCTAGGATTTGATAACACTGAGCCATGACAGTTAAAGTGGTGTCAAACTGCATCCCTTCTACAGTGTAACTGTACCACCACCCTTAGCTCAGCTCATTAGCACTCCTTGGGGCTAGAAGGTGAAACAATAGAAGGCCATCAAGCTTGCATATTTAGTGGGCTGAAGTGCTAGACTTTGATTAGCTGAATTAATAGCAACATAGGAAGCCCCACTGAGGGCCCTTCCAGACAGGCCCTATATCCCAGGATCTGATTCCAGGTTTTCTGCTTTAAACTAGATTATATGAGTCTGCACTGCCAGATAATCTGGGATAAACAGAAAACCAGGGATCAGATTCTGGGATATAGGGCCTGTCTGGAAGGGCCCTAAGGGTGCATCTGCACTGTAGAATGAATGCAGTTTGGCATCACTTTAACTGCCATTATGGGAATGGTAGATTTACAAGGTTTTTGGCTTTATCTCTCAGAGGGCTGTGGTGCCTCACCAAATCCCAGGATTTCAAAGCACCGAGCCTTGATCCATGTAGTCATGCCGGCCCCATGACCTTGGAGGTGTCTATGGACAACACCAGTTCTTTGGCTTAGAAATGGAGATGAGCATCAACCTCCAGAGTCCGACAGGACTGGGCTTAATGTCAGGGGAAAATCTTTACCTTTACTAATTATTTCCTGATGCCAAGAGATTGTGAGCCCCTACAAGAGCAGAAAGTGTTAAAACTTCCTCTTCAGGGCCCTTCCACATAGCCCTATATCCCAGAATATGAAGGCAGAAAATCTCACATTATCTGAGGACCCTTCCACACAGCCCTATATCCCACAATATCTGCTTTGAACTGGGTTATCTGAGTCCACACTCAGATAATGTGGGATTTCCTGCCTTGATATACTGGGATATAGGACTGTGTGGAAGGGCCCCCAATGTGGACTCAGATAACTCAGTTCAAATAGATATTGTGGGATTTTCTGCCTTGATATTCTGGGATATAGGGATGTGTAGAAGGGCTCTGAATCCACACTGACATATATTCCAGTTCAAAACAGATAGTGTGGGATTTTATTCAGCTGAGTTGAATGGGTCTCACCTTTCTGTAATGCAGTAAATCATAGTTAGGCCACAAATGGGGGCAGTGTTTCTTTTCTGCTACCTTCCCTTGCTTATAGACTTATTTGAGCCAGCTGGGCTGTGTGCCTCCATACTGTAGAATTAATGCAGTTTGACACCACTTTAAACTATCATGACTCCATGCTAGGGAATTATGGGAGCTCCAGTTTTACAGGGTATTGGGCTTTCTCTGGGCCCTTCCACATAGCCCTATATCCCAGAATATCAAGGCAGAAAATCTCACATTCTCTGAAGCTTTAGAGAACACAATACTTTCTCCATAGAGAATTTCATCTATGCTTAAGCAGCGATGACATGATCATCAGCACAGATGATCTACAGAGATACTTGCAGGAGCACCTCAGCAAGCAAGAGTCCAAAAGTGGCAGGCGAAAAAACCTGAAACCTCAATCAGTGGCTGATACCAGATGGGAGACTGCCTCCTGGGCACACAGAAGACTGGGTGACCTGGAAGGCCCTGAACAGGCTGTGCTTTGGCACCAATAGATGCAGATCTAACCTTAAGAAATGGGGCTGCAAAGTGGAGTCTATGACATGTGAGTGGTGGAGAAGAGCAAATCACAGACCACCTATTACAATGCAGCCTGAGCCCTGCCACATGCACACTGGAGGACCTTCTTACAGCAACACCAGAGCCATATATGCCAGAATATCAAGGCAGAAAATCCCACATTATCTGAGTGTGGACGCAGATAAACCAGTTCAAGTCAGATAATGTGGGATTTTCTGCCTTGATATTCTAGGATATAGGGCTCTGCTCCTGCTTCACCAAATGCTCAACTCCCAAGTTTGCAAAGCATTGAGCCATGGCAATATAAAATAGTGTCAAGCTGTATTAATTCTGCATTGTAGACGCATCTTCAGATTGAAGAAGGTTGACTGACAGACTGACAGGATATTAGACATCCTCATTCGGGGCTGCCCTAAGTATTCTCACCTGGGGTTCGTCTGGTGACGGTAGGGAACTCTTTGCCCACAGATTCATTCATTCATTCGTTGCTCTCTTTTCTTATTCTGCCATTCTTTCTTTCATTCATTCATTCATTCATTCCTTCTCTTCCTGCAGTTGCTTTGCAGCGCGCCTAATCCAATTGAACGTGATTGACTAAAGAATTGGCTTGTAGCCCTGAGGGTTTTTCCCCCTCCTCCTGTTGCAACAGCTACTAAGGGGATATTTGGGGGTGGCTCAACTCCCAAAAGGAGAAATTGGGTGTCAGACACGAGGCACACGCGACTCCAAGAAACGCCTCTGGGTCAGAAATTAGGCAAATGCCTTTCTTGGAGTGCTGTGGCTAAA